ACGAAGAAAATACCATGTTAGAATAGAATCCAGGTCCAGGACCCAAATAGAAAGGGAATCTGTTAATATTCTCTGCTGTTGTGGTCTGTGTGACAGACACCTTGAAACTGATTAGATTCTGGATAAGAACACAATCTTCCAGTCTATCTGGAGTGTTTCTTTGAAGCTCAGTTGAATTCAGTGTAGATAAGAGAATTTTCTGTAATGTGTCAGAGAAAATAAACAGTAAATAAGCTTTCTTAGATAGTTCTCCTCTTGGAGGGAAAAGCCAGTTTGCTTCATTTTCCCTTCTCTTTCCTTCTTTCTTTCCTTGGTCTCTTTTCTCTCTCTCTCTTTTAAAAAATATATGGGCAACTTAAAGGTTAGGATGATATATACACTATATAGAAGATCTAGATAGATGATGTGAGAAACAAGTGGCAATCTTTATAATTTAAGTAGAGAAAAGAGGGGTTAACCAGGCTTATTATCTAAGTTGTCTATTTGACAGAATTTGTTCAATCATTGGCCAGCTCCTAATTTTCCTGTCAGTTTACTGGTGATTTAAATGGTGTGATTTCAGAAGTAAACTTGCTTTTCACAATCTAAGAATGATAAGTAAATGGTGGTCATTTAAATCACTTCTTGAACTTAAAGGCAAATTGTTTCCTATTTGTCTACATAGAGGAGTCCTAAAGCACATAATTTAGTCTGTCCTTTTCTCTCTGAAGGTTCCATGGAATATGGTTGTTTTCTTTCTCATTTCTTCCTAATTTTCTCACCTTTAAATTAAAATTGCCTTCATCTTTTGCCAAAACACATTGATTTTTATTTCCTTCTTACAAATCAATTCCTTATTTCTTCCTAGCTGAAGACTTTACAACTTTAGTCTATATGACTCAGACAGTCACATATAACATTAATTATTTTGCTTAAAAATAAGGGCTCAAACTTCCTAAAGTAAGTTTCAAAATGTTACACTGAAGCCCTACAGAGAAGACATTCCATTTTTGTTATGCAGAAAATCTTTTTTAAAATTATACACCAGTAGATACAAAGATTTGGTGTTTAAATCATGATTTGATGCTTATCTATGTTTCTTTAATTTTATAGTTTTCTTATTCTAACTCAAGTAGCTAACAAAATCATAGCATGGCACCAATGATAATAGCTCCCAAATTTCACTTCAGAAATGTAAGACTTTTCTTGCCATTGTCTTAACTACAGAATCTTCTATTTGCAAAGTTTAACAAAATTACAGTGTCCTTCCTTCAGGAAATGCTTAGACATGTATCTTTTTAAGAAATCAATTTCTTAGATAATTTTCCCTTTTAAAACTTAGGTTTAAAATACTCAATTTTTCTTATTGTTCTTATATTGTGATATTTCTGATATTACACACAAAAAAGTTTTAAAATGGTACTAAATGATGAAAATGCTAATTAAATAGAAATTGAACTATTATTTAATCTAACTATATTGAAAAGAAGTTTTAAATGCTTGTGTAAAACCACAGCATGAATTTTTTAAGTGTTTTACAGAACACTATCATTGCTTTTCACTCCTGTTGTTCCAGTTTCTTTAATGTAACTATCATTTTACTGTCCACCTATTAAGACACTAAGTTCACTGAAAAGAATTTGGGTTTTATTTTTACATCCACATATACAAAATAAGCTATACTAAGTGAGGGGAAAAGGGTTGCCTATAGGAGCATGTAGAGCTTAATGAGGACTTGATCATATGTTTAATTTAAAAATAAAAGCTTTGTTGTCCCCTCTTAAAACTCATTTTGGTATTTGACAATGGAGGTGATAGGAGATGTAAAGTGAGGCTACTAAACTCTGTTATCATGAATATGCAAAAATTGATCAAATTCCAAGTCCCAATTTATACCTTAGGAGTTATTTAACAAAATAAGTACATTTAGATGGGCTTTATAAACTTCACTGAAATGCTTTTTGACCTATACTGACAAGGATCATGTATAACTCAGATATTCCTTCCAACTGTTCATCTGTGATTAAAATACCTGAAAAACTATAAATTCCATTTTCATTAGTAAGTATCTCAAGGTTTTAATCACCAAAAAAATCAGTATTAGGAGGTGTAGAGGATGATTTCTTATATATAGGTAGTTTTTTGTTTTATGGGGTTTTTTTGGTACTGGGGATTGAACTTGGGTCTTTGCGCTTGTGCAGCAGGTGGTGAAACCACTGAGCTAAATCCCCAGCCCATATATAGGTAGTTTAAAAATTATTTTTAACTCTCTTCTCTCTAGAAAATGAGCAGGTATTTTATAGGCAGGAATAAAATCCATCCTCAACCATAGTCTAGCATAGTAGATATGCTAATTAAAACTCCTGGATGTCTCACTGGCACCAAGCCATATTGAGATTCCTTTCCTTCCCCTCATTGGTACTTAACCATATTGGGGTTTCTTTTTAATCTCCACAGTTGTTGAATGAAATCCTTAATATAAAGGAATACCTTCTTTCAGCTCTCTGCACAAAAGCAAAAGTACCAATAATACAGTCTCAAAAAAGAAAATATTTTAATTCATAAAACTAACAATTGTAGCAATAAGGCCTTTGGGGGAAAGCTGACTACAAAGACTATAAAAGCTCATTTCAGTTTTAATCACAATGCAGGGGCTAATGTTAAGTTGGTTTCTAAAAATATTAACCAATCAGTTCCAAGGATACAATGTATTTTGAAACTCTAAAACATTGTTTGAAATGATACATTCTGGTTTTTGAAATACTTTCTAGATTGCCAAAAAGAAAAATTTATCAGTATCCTATACCCCAATATTTGCAGGTTAAAAGGCAAGATATAGTATTATTAACATGAAGATGTTTGAAGATGGTTGTTTGCATAATTGTTCTTTTCAAAAGCTTTTCAAGATCAAATTTAGCCTATTGGCTTTGAGCCTGAAGAATTTTTTTTAGTTTAAATGAAGTTCCAGTGCTGTTTTCAGTGATCAAAGCAAAAATTTTAAATTGTATTTTCACACTTTCATACATTCACAGCTTTTTCTAACAATATAAAGTGCATGGATTGTGTGGCTGAATCCAAGAAAGTCTCCATCTAAGCAATCCTGTCTTTTAACAATTCTTTGTATTTCAATGGCTTGTCAAAGGCACACATGTTCTACATTTAAACAAATATTTAATCTTATGCATCCTTCAAAGGAAGTTGAAAGAAATGTACCTGTTGTAGGAAAACTCTATGGTTAAAATTTTTGTAGGAGCTGTAAATGTACTATCACTTGGGCCTAATACATGAATACATTTAGGCAAAAGACAGTCACTAAGAAGAGTACTTACATATGAACAAAAGAGTAACATGACAACTACTATGGAATCAATTTTTGTAAATTTCCTAATTTTTATGTCCACAAATTCACAACCACTTTTGTTTACTTCCTTTTAAAAATTAACATTTTAAAATCTATGCCCAGGCACAAATACTTTCTTTTTGTATACTAAATTAAGTATGCTTAGAGAGATCAACTCAAATTCTACTAGAATATTAACAATTAGTATTATGCCTGATCATATAAAATATATATGTAATAAACATAAAGAGCTTGGGTGTTAATATTAACATTTACACAGTTCTGCCCTGTAAAGTATTCCCTGGGTAAATCAGATATCTTTTTTTCAACTGACATTTTACTGCTGACGAGAAGAAACAAGGAATTAGAAAGTGAGAGGAAGAAAAGATGAAGATGATTAATAAGTGTTTGTTTCCTAAAGACCCTGGGGAGACTTTTAAACCTTTCATTGCTGCTGTATTCTCCCCGGGTGCAAGTGTCTCTCAGCTATCCAAGCAGGGCTGAAGAGAATTACTCCACCAGTTACTGATGCTAAATTACTCTATTTGCGTCCTGCTACTGTGAATCGAGGAACTCTCTACGCACTGGTACAATGCTAAATGTTGACTATACTCATTAAAACCTCCCTCGCCCCCAAATAAGCACCTAAAGTATGCCAAAGAAGAGAATGTTCCACGTTGACTCCAACATTGCAAATAATCCTTCCTGAAACTAAAACACATTTCTCGTTCTGTAGCCTTTCCCTCCATCCTTCAAGACCTTGCATTTTTTACTCTTCGTGTTCTTTTCTTCAAAAATGCATATCCGACTTTGCTTCGCGGGGGTTTTGGGGTTATTTTCTAAGAGTTACTCTTGTCCTCCAAACCAACTCCGTAGAAATAGAAACTTAAACTTTACGCAGGATTTGTTACAGGTATCTAAAAAAAAGCAATTTACTTCTAATAAAGATCATGTCATCCCCAGCCGCGATTTTTACTAAGAGAACTCTTAATATGTATTTATGAAGGGTTTATTGAGCAATTAAAACTGGACCCACAGATGCAGCGAATACTGTAGCATACCAAGCGAAACGCAGTTTGCTTTTGGAAGGTGTTATTCGCAGCGGCACGTCAGCACTCTAATAACCCTGGCACGGTGCTCGGCATAATGTAATCCCCTGCCAGCTGCCCGGTGCGGCGCGGACAGGCACGCTGCCGCCGCGTGCATCTGTGCACACGGACACCACGCAGGGAGGAATCCAGCGCCGTATTCGAGATGACAAAGGACAGGGAAAAGCCAGAGGTACAGAATTAGGTGTCTACAGTGTCACTCGTCAGAGGACAGCGCTTCGGGGTTGCGTCGGTGGGTTGTTTTCTTTTCATACAAGGAACCGGCTGCCGCCCCTCGGAACTCCCCGCAGGACCCGCGCGGCGCGGGGCCGGAGGGCGGGGCGCGCCGTCCCGGTCCGACAGCCTCGGGGAGTGCCGGGCGCGCGGAGGAGAAGCGCCGAGCGCGTGCACACAGCGCCAGGGGCCGCCCCTCCCGGCGGGCTCGGCTTCGCGGCCCGCACGCCGAGAACAGCACCGGGGGAAGCAGCGGAGACGCGGGGACGCGGAGGCCCGGGCGGGTAGGCCCGCAGCCCGCGCCGCCTCCGCTCCGCCGCCACCGCCGCCCCGAGCCGGGGGCGCGCGCGGCCGCGTCTGCGGAGCGCGCGGCGCGTGTCACGTGGTGCGCGTGTCGAAGGTCACGGCGCGCGCACAATGGAGCTCTCAGCGTCTGTGCAGAGAGGCTTCCAGACTCTGGCCGATCCCGGCTCCTTCGACTCCAATGCCTTCGCGCTTCTCCTCCGGGCGGCTTTCCAGAGCCTGCTGGACGCCCAGGCGGACGAGGCCGTGCTAGGTAAGCAGCTCGGCGCCGGGCGGAGGCGGCCGGGTGGAGGGGCGCTCAGAGGAGCGGAGCGGAGCGGGGAGCGCGGCGGGGAGCGCGGCGGAGCCCGGGAAGAGGAAGTCTGCGGGCCGTGCCCTTCGCTCCGGACGGAGTGTGGGCCCGGGACTGCCGGCGCCCAGCGACCCGAGCATTGTTCTGTCCCGCTTGGCACCTGCACCCTTCCGGCTCCGTTCCTGGCCCGATCTCCCTCCCAGACGCTTTGTTCCTTTTGTAAAGCCGTGTTCAAGTCCTGTTTGTGGCCTAAACAGCCAAGGTCTTCAGCCTGGGCTGGGCAGCAGCTATTTTGACACTTGGACTTCAACTGGGGGGCTCCCTGTAATTCAGGCTCGCGGGACTGGACTGGCAAGCGTTTGAAAGGATCTGTTTCTCAAGTAATGACTAGAGGTCAAAGAGTACTTCCAACTCAGAGAAGACCTCAGGTTCCTAAGAAAACTCCAGCACTCCAGCTTAGTGTATTTTGCACAAGTTCTTCGCTCCCGAACCCTAAAATAGGGCACATGATGCTTTGTTCCGCACCGGTTACTAGGAGGTGACCCTCACTGAAGCGGTCTGCTCAGTGTGGAGGGCATTGTCAGTTGTGGATTACAGGCATATTTTAAGACAATTCGCTTTTAGATCATTTTCTTAAATATAAGTATTTCAATTCAAATTTTTTTGTGTAGCTTCAGAACAAGACATTTGTACAAAGAGTATGAAAGTGGAAGCTCTACAAACGAAAATAGTAACCACCACCTGGGTTAATCTCAAAAAAAAAAAAAAAAAAAAAGGATGGCTGTCAAAACCTGAAAGGATTTTGAAATTCATATTATACATTTCACACCCTCCCCTCCAGCCTCTCCCCCTTCAGGTATTATTGTCCACAGAGCCAGTTACCCTAAAATTTCATCACCTGTAGAATAAAGGTTATCCTCAAATTTATACCATGTAAAATATTTACCTTTGAATATGTAAAATATTTACCTTTGTTTTTTTCCTTTGAATTTACTTCATCCAGTGTTAGAATGAGCACTGTATAATTGTATTTTCCTTTGGGGACCATATATTTTTAAAACTAATAAAAATATTAAGGCAAAAAAAGGTAATTGAAAACAGATAAAGTAGAATTACTGATGTGTTTTATTATTTTGCAATTGACCTTGTTGTTCATCTCATTTACTCATAATTGACAATCGTAATTGAATTCCTGTTAAAAGGAGTTTTTACCCTTTAAATATCTTTATAGGAACCTGGCTATAAAGAATTTATTATTACAGGCATCACTGTCAATGAATTTATTTTAGATCACCCAGACTTGAAACATATCGACCCAGTGGTTTTAAAACATTGTCATGCAGCAGCTGCAACTTACATACTGGAGGCAGGAAAGCACGGAGCTGACAAGTCAACTCTGAGGTACAGGATTTATTTAAACATCCATGTATTTTGAAATAGTATTTTTGTGATTCCAATTTGTTTTTAAAATGGAGATTAAACTTTGGCTCTCCCTGCCCCCCCCCAGCACCTATCTAGAAGACTGTAAATTTGACCCAGAGCGAATAGAACTGTTTTGCACAGAATATCAGGTTATTCACTTTAACTTTTTAAATTAACAATTATTACTTTGACTTACACTCAGGTTGCAAAGATGTATTTTCTTTCCTTTTTTTCCTCCCCAGAATAATAAGAATTCCCTAGAAATCCTACTGGGAAGGTAGGTACTGTGTAAAGTGTCAAGCTGAGGCACTTTTTATTTGCAGGTATGAATGGAGAAGGGCTGGTGTGAAACAAAACAGGGCCAAAAACCTGGGCTCTTGACTCAAAGGGGCCAAAGGGTGTGTGCATCAGTAGTTAAGCTAATATTATTAAAGATGATGTTTATTGAGTAATTTTAGAAATTTTTTTTTCTTCAGAACTTGAAAGTGAAGTGTAACAATGTAGACACCATTCTTAGTAAAGATAAATGCTGTTAGTCTTGTAGTTATTATATGTTAAAATATCATAGTTTCTTTCAGTATAGGCAGATCTCTCCCTCATATAACTGATGTTTCTTGGCGCTTGGAATATCAGATAAAGGTAAAGTTTAACTGTTCTCTAGAGGGATTTAGGGAACTTTTGGGGAAAAAAAGACTAACATGTTGTATTGTTTTAGACCAATCAACTTAATAAGATGTACAGACCTGCATATTTGGTGACCCTTAATGTAGAGGTATGTATAGACAATTCCTGTCTAAAAATGAAATTTCAAATTTTCTTAATTTAAATAAACAGCATTCTTTTCTTCTCTAGAACACTGATTCCCAGTCCTACCCAGAGATTAGTTTTAGCTGCAACATGGAACAATTACAGGTACAGTATTAGCATTTGTCTTTTGTAGATATTTGAGAATTAATGCTTATGGAAACATCAAAAGAAAAATAATTTAAATACTTATCAACAAATAATGAAGGTTGATTACAGATTTAATGGAAAGGGGGCCTCACAAGCAATATTTTGACATAGACTTCACTTTTGAAATTAAGATGTTACTAATTTATGTCTGCTGTTCCCTTTAATTAAACTTTTAAAGTGTAGTGTAAATTCCTTCAATTCATGATGTTTGACCCATTAAGATAAAGCAAAAAAGGTGCTCTTTCCTTGAATTTAGATGCAGTTCAACTTTTCAAAGACCTCTCAGTCACTTCAATGTAACTATTAAATTCTAAACTTCCAGAAAATGTGTATGTAGCATAAACTTTAGATGACTTGAGCTATTTAACTTAAGATATACCTGTGAAGATTGTTACTCCTGTTTCAATCTAATGGCAAATAGCCGATTTGAAGATGAGATATTTTATTTAAAAAATGCTTCTTTTGACGGATAGTGATTTGTCAAAGGTTAAAATCCTAGTGCACTTCAAACTGGTTTAGAACGTGTTCTCCCGACTTTTTTCTTGTACCTCTCTGGAACTTGAATACTTCATTACATGTTTCAATCCTGAACACGTGGTATTCTGTACATCTTTTAGGACTTAGTTGGGAAACTTAAAGATGCTTCAAAAAGCCTGGAGAGAGCAACTCAGTTGTAAGCTGGAGAAGTTAAGGATCCTCCCGAGCCTAGAGGAAAACCAGAAATGTCTTGAATCATCGTTGGTGCGACCTGGATGTCCTCATTTTCAGTAGAAAAAAAAGTTTCCTCTTGAATTTGCCATTGACTTTTTTTTTTACATATGTGAAAGAGTTGAGAATTCTGTGCATTTGACCCATCTTTGGTATTACCTGTACATCTCCTGTTTTGATCTTTTTCAAGTCTTATGAAAAGAAATTTACACCCTGAATAAATAAGGTGTTGTTCCCATGAAGAGTGGTGGTATTTTGTTTGGATTGGAGTTTGTGTTAATTATTACTTTGTGTGAACAGCGAGTCACGATTAGCGTTAACTTTTAACGATCGCCTTTCTCCGGGTTCAGCCCAGGGGAAGGATGCGGACCCCGGGCGGCGCCCCGGGCGGAGCGGGCGCGTGGCCGCGGAGGGCCCTCCGCCCGCCCGTTACCTGCGGAGGCTCGCCCGCCGCCCGCGCGCGCCCTGCCTCGGCGGCCGGTGGCCAGGAAAGGGGCCGGCGCGGCCGCGGGAAGGCTTGGGCGGGCGCCGTTGTTTGCGCGAGCCCAACTTGGGCGCAGGTCCCGCGCTCGGCGCCGGAGTCCGGGCCGGGCGCCCCAGGTTGGCGGGAGCCCGCGGACGCGTGCACTGCGGGCGGGAGGAGGCAGTGACAGGGCGGTGGGCTGTGCGGCGTGCGGGGCCGCAGCGGTGCCTGCACCGGGAGCGGGCGGCGCGTGTGGCGCTGTGGAGAAATGTCTGTCTCCGCGGCCGCGCCAGCGCCAACGCCAGAGCCAGCGCCGCGCGGGGGGAGGGGGAGGGGGAGGGGGCGGCGCGCGGCGCGCAGGGGAGGGGGCGGCGCGGCCCAACTACACCGACACTAATTCCCAGGCCGCCCTTAAGGAATGAGGGAGCACGTGACCCGGGGGGCGGGGGCGGGGCGGGGGCGGGCGG